AAAAAAGATATGCGTACTTACCTTTTTTTAGTCTGCTCTGATCTGGTCACGTGATCAGTGAACCTGATCTGCTGCAGGGAAGAGGAGGGAGCGCTGACAACGGCTGAACCATGAGAGCCTATAGGTGATGTCACAGCTCCAGGAATTCCCAGTCATTGTTAAGTGCATGTTAGGCTTGAATTACTCATTAAGGCAAAATATTCTGATTCTTACATCAGTGAATCATGGCTGATTCTCTTACTTCTGATGCAGGAGTCTCCAAACTATGGCCCTCCAGCTGTTGAAGTACAAGTCCCATCATGCCTCTACATCTGGGAGTCTTGTTTGTGGCTGTCATAGTACTGCAAGGCCTCATGGGACTTTCAGTTCCTCAACACCTGGAGTGCCATAGTTTGGAGACCCCTGCTTTATTGAGTGGTGCTATTAAAATACTATGAAGAAATGGGAATGTATAACAAGCACAGCACAATACAATAAAATAGACTTTACATACAACATGCTACATGTAACATTCATGTTAAATTACTACACCATTATTCAATAATCAGATCTAAATCATTTTATGTATGTATATTGTTTAGTATTGTGAGAGTGCATGATGTTTTAATGCAACTAAGTGCCATAAACGTGAAGGGTTTAACTGAAGAGTGACTTGCCATGATAGAAGTGGTATACATCTTAGTTCCCCTACCAGAGACATAGGGGTTGATTTAGTGAAGACAATTAGGCTGTTCACTTTGCAAGGAAAGTTGCACTTTGCAAGAGAGTTTGGTCCAGAGCTTAGTAAATGTGGTGAAGTTTTACTTTTCAAAAAATAAACAAGGAAAATAAACAGCATTTTTGATTGCACATTATTGGATGATTGAAATCAGAAGAGCTTCTCCTTTTTCACTGAGTTCTGGGGCAAATGCCCTTGCAAAGTGCAATTTTCCTTGCAAAGTGTACAGTCTATTTGCCTTTAGTAAATCAATCCCATAGATTCCTAAAGATTACAGAACTACAATCCTGACCTTATTGGGCACCTTTTCTACCTGGGGCCCCAGAAATAGTAATCTGCAGCTTTAAATTAAAGTATACATGTTGATGATACTATTGACTAAAAGTGGAAGTGCTTCAGGTTGACTCACCACTAAACAATCATTACCCACAATAATATAATATCAGCATAGTTCAAATTTTTTAAAAACTGCTTTTTAGTACCTTTTTTTCTCTAAGTCTGCCTGTCATGTGACCTTGATCCTTTGTGGTTTACTTTGCACTCTACCATTGCAACTGCTAGGTGTGTCCCCTGTTGCTTTAGGATCTTCATTATTGGAGGTCATTAGCTGCAGATCATGGGACTGATGGCCAAGATGGATAGAGGCAGTGCTGGGTGGGATTGGGGGCAGGGTTGGGCAGGACGGGAGCAGTGGTGGGGCTCTGCTGGAATTCTTACAGAGACCGACAATGGTTTAGGGAAATGCTTATGAGCTGTCAAATTCAAATAAACAGGCATACCATTGTCAGTGGAGTACAGAAGACTGCTGATTGTCTAGCTGTTTCTGATCTAAACAATCAACAATCCACAAAATAGATAATATCAAAGCTATCTGACCTAGTAATCATGGTCAAATTTTCATTTTTGAGTGGAATTACACTTTAATCCCTGTACCATGAGAACGTTAGTAAAATATTAGGTTTAGTATTAGGTAAGACTACAAAACTTTAGGGCGGCACAGTGGCTTAGTGGTTAGTACTTCTGCCTTGCAGCAATTGGGTTCAGTTCCCAACCATGGCACCTCTTGCATGGAGTTTGCATGTTCTCCCTGTGTTCGCGTGGGTTTCCTCCGGGTACTCCGGTTTCCTCCCACACTCCAAAGACATGCTGGTAGGTTAATTGGCTCCTGTCTAAATTGTCGTAGTTTCATCCCTCGCCATGCGGGATCTCCTGCATGGTAGGGGTTGGGGAAAGACCTGGCAACCTACCCTGTAAAATAATTGCTAAGAGAATTCATGGAAAAAGTTGCTTACGAGTGACGGTCCATGCAATCGCCAAGTGTCGAATACGACTGAACAGATAGACAAAACTTTAGATATGTAAAAGGTAAAATTTATGTGACTGAGACACATGGAAGTGGCTATCAATTTGATATATTCAAAAGTATGCATGATCAATGAGTAGGCTAAAGTAAATGTAATATGCAAAACCATTTACCTCTGTGACCTAAATCATTCAATCTAACAGTTTAAATCCCTTTTTCCCTATTTCAAAAAGTGATCTTTGTTCTAACCAAGCTTAGAAATTCCTATTCGATGGTTTGGGCATGATCACTGACGGAGGAAGTAGAACAAAAGATGTATGAAACCTGGAAATACATAAATTAGGACCCTGACAGAGTGAGGAGTGATTAAAACGTTATGATCACACACCCCCTTTATCTTTCATTTCTAGATAGGAGTGGTCCCTTAGGCTAAAATCATGCCAATAGTGTATATGAAGAACAAAAATGTGGAGGGCACACTTAAAAGTAATGTTGTAGACACTTTCTCAGCAAAATTTCACTTTTCTCTCATTAATAAGCTTTGTTATATCTTTTGGCTAACCTGAAAATAGTGTTGTATAAAAATGAAATTTACATTTCTTAAAACTTCTGCAGGTACATAAAACAGATGTAGAAGACCAAAATGTCTCCAGGAGCTATTGGGATACACTGAGGCGTAGCACAAGCCAAGCCCTCTTTTCGGACCTTGCAGAGGTATTTCAAAACCTCTCTGGTCCAAGAAACATTTTCATTGTCATGAATCATCAGTGTTGTTTAAAACTCTTAAGTTCTATCCATTTTTAGCATGCTATTGTCTTCTGTCTTTTCTTTTTGTTGTGTGTCATATATTTTCTTTCTGCTGTTTTCTCTTTTATTTCTTGTGAAATTCTTCAACGCTACAGAAGAGAAATATCTACACCAGTGGGTGTTTATATAAGTAGTGTGGCCTGTATGTATGATTTCATTCATCTTGGTAATGTACCTTTTCAGAAACTGAGTGAATGTATGCATCATTTAGTAGTTTTTCCAAGCTCAAAAGGTTGCATGGTTGCTGATAAAGGTGAATTATAATGACTTCAATTAAAAGGCCAGTAAGAAAGTTGTATGTGCTTAAGTCGCAAGTTACTAGCTGCTTAAATATCATGCAAGTACAGTTCCAAAGTGACAGGAACATGACCTGCTGTACTTTCAGGTTTAGTCATATATATGGGCCTGTTCATATAGTGCATTGAAAAAGTATTCATACCCCTTGAAATTTTCCACATTTTGTCATATTACAGCCAAAAAAACGTAATGTATTTTATTGGGATTTTATGTGATAGACCAACACAAAGTGGCACATAATTGTGAAGTAGAAGGAAAATGATAAATGGTTTTCAAAATTTTTTACAAATAAATATCTGAAAAGCGTGGCGTGCATTTGTATTCAGCCCCCTTTACTCCAATACCTCTAATTAAAATCTAGTGAAAGCAATTGCCTTCAGAAGTCAACTAATTAGTAAATAGAGTCCACCTGTGTGTAATTTAATCTCAATACAAATACAGCTGTTCTGTGAAGCCCTCAGAGGTTTGCTAGAGAACATTGGTGAACAAACAGCATCATGAAGGCCAAGAAACACACCAGACTGGTCAGGGAAAAAGTTGTGGAGACATTTAAAGCAGAGTTAGGTTATAAAAAAAATCCCAAGTTTTGATCATCTCACAGAACACTGTTCAATCCAAGAAGAAAGCCATTGTTCCAAGAAAGCCATAAGACGTCCGATTTGCAGTTTCTGAGAAGCCATGTGTTGAACACAGCAAACATGTGGAAGAAGGAGCTCTGTTCAGATGAGACCAAAATTGAACTTTTGGCCTAAAAGCAAAATGCTATGTGTGGTGGAAAACTAACACTGCACATCACCCTGAACACACCTTCCCCACCGTGAAACATGGTGGTGGCAGCATCATGTTGTGGGGGTGATTTTCTTCTGCAGGGACAGGAAAGCTGGTCAGAGATGATGGGAAGATGGATGGAGCCAAAAACCTGTTAGAGTCTGCAAAAGACTTGAGACTGGGGTGGAGGTTCACCTTCTAGCAGGACAACGACCCTAAACATACAGCCAGAGCTACATAGGAATAGTTTAGATCAAAGCATATTCATGTGTTAGAATGACCCAGTCAAAGTCCAGACCTAAATCCAATTGAGAATCTGTGGCAAGACTCGAAAATTGCTGCTCACAGACACTCTCCATCCAATCTGACAGCTTGAGCTATTTTGCAAAGAAAAATGGCCAAAATTTCACTCTCTAGATGTGCAAAGCTGGTAGAGACATACCCAAAAAGACTTGCAGCTGTAATTGTTATGAAAGGTGGATCTACAAAGTATTGACTCAGGGGGGGCTGAATACAAATGCACGCCACACTTTTCAGATATTTATTTGCAAAAAGGTTTGAAAACCATTTATCATTTTCCTTCCACTTCACAATCATGTGCCACTTTGTGGTGGTCTATGACATAAAATCCCACTAAAATACATTTATGTTTTTGGTTGTAATATGATAAAATGTGGAAAAATTCAGGGGGTATGAATACTTTTTCAATGCACTGTACAGTGGTGATGGTAAATGCCTTCACTAGAGTGGTAAAGACAGAATGATAAAATCTGTTAAAATTAAATTTCTTGTGTAATAAAGTGTTATTCATTTATTACATTCTGTTAAAATAAAATGGAAGGTCTTGGGAGCTTGAAAAGAAAGTTCTGCTTACTTTATCACACTGCTCTTAAGAATAGATTTCCAATCCTATGGAATAGACCAGAAAAATAATGTAACATATTTGCAATAAATTAACACGATAGTCCTTTTTATATGCATTCCCGCAAATGTCCACTGAATATGACTCGTGACATGGAGTAACAGCTGACATTTTATCTTAAGGGCATGGATGAGCTCTCCAATTCAATGATACATACCACTTTACTTGTGCACTTTTTTGGGAAGAAAGGGAAAATTGAGCTCAACTTTGAAGATTTTTACAGGTAGGTTATATATGTGTATTTTAAGTTATCTGCATGGTAGCAAAACCATCGAAAGCCCGTGACTACTCCTTTCATGTTTTCAGCCGACGTTGGTGCAAACAATATCACCACTGGCAAAATACCTAACAGGCGTCCAAAAAGGAGGGCTATTTTATTCATCATTCCTGTATTGTACGTTAATAAATGCGGTGGCTGCTCCCCCTCCAGACTTCTCCCTTTTGCAAATAATCTTAGTTGTAGAGATAGAGTATGAGGGAGAAGGGATCTTACCAGTATACCTGATTCAACTACAACCTTTTTTCCCCCTTTATAAACATATTGTACATAACCATGTGATAAATACATCTGCCCTTTGGAAGCCATATTGTGTTAAGGTCTAACGTTAACCAGAAGAATATAGCAATAATGTATAATTTTTTTTTATTAGAAAGGGAGATAAAATATATGGTATTGTGTGCTCCTTACATATTGCAATAAAGTGTATGTAAACTCAAAATCTATTTTTCAGTATGTTTGGCAGCATGATTCACTGTACATACAGCTTTCTTTCAAAAATCGTTTTTTTTTATTTGCTGAAAAGTTTCTTGCCTGGGGAACCTGTAGTCACAGCACTTCCTTTTTCAAAGGAGCATTTTCAGCCTGCCATGTGCACTCCTTTAGTTGGCCATTGGGCTGCCAATCAGGTCTTCCCGATGTCAAGCTGAGGAAGTGCACAAGGCAGACTGACAATGCTGCTGCTAATTGCAAGGCAGTGGTTTAGTGTACATGCCAGAAACAGGAAATTCAGTTACTGGCATGGTCTCCAGGTTAGAAAAGTTACAACAGACTAATTATTCTTGATCAAATAATTTGATCAGGAAAACTGCACAGTGACATGTGATATCAAACATAATGAAAAATAGATTTTACGTTTATATACACTTTAGATTCTATTGTGAAAAGATGCTTGGTTGATACAGGAAATTAAATAAATAACCTCCATTACTCTTAAAGATAAGAAAATCATGAACTTTTCTTTTACAACACTAAGTGGTGTTATTAAAGCAGTGAATCTGACATTCATCAAACATTCACTGCTGGTGATTCTTCTTGGTGCATGTGTTTCAAATGACAGTGATAGATTCAACACCAGTGAGTCTTTGGTGAAAGTCACATTCACTGCTTTATACATATGGTGCACTCAGAATCTGGTGCAGCTGTGCATGGTAGCCATGGTTTAGCTTGTTCAGTTAACCACTTGAATGCTGGGCACTTTCACCCCCTTCCCGCCCAGGCCGATTTTCACCTTTCAGTGATGTCATATTTTGAATGACAATTGCGCGATCACGTGCCCATATGAAACTTTTATCATTTTTTTTACACAAATAGAGATTTCTATTGGTGGTATTTGAACACCACTGGGGTTATTATTTTTTTGCTAAACAAACAAAAAAAGACTGAAAATTTTGAAACAAAAAGTTTTTGTTAGTTTCTGTTATAAAATTTTTCAATAAATAATTTTTCTCCTTTACTGATGTCTGCTGATGAGGCTGCACTGATGGGCACCGATAGGCTGCACTGATGGGCATTGATAGCTTTCACTGATGGACACTGAGGAGGAGGCACTGAGGAGGCTGCACTCATATGCGGCACTGATGGGCACTGATAGGTAGCACTGAAGGTGGCATTGTTTGGGCACTGGTAGGCATCACCAATGGGAACTGATAGGCTGCACTGATAGGGAGCACTAATGGGCACTGATAGGCGGCACTGATGAGAAGTCACTAATAGGTGGCACTGATGGGGACTGTTATGTGGCACTGATGGGCAGCAGTGATTGGCACTGATAGGAATCACTGATTGACACTGATGGGGCTGCACTGATAATCAGGGAACTGATGATCAATGCCTTGATTATCTGTGTACGTGTCCCTGTCATACTTGCTGGTTATCAGCTCTCCTCTCCTCTTGCTGTGACTACGTATGAGGTAAGTGTGTTTACATTGTGATCAGCTGTGATTGGACACTGCTGATCGCATGGTAACGGGCCACTGTGATTGTCCCTTTACCCTGACCTGTGACCAGCTGTGTCCGAAGGACAAAGTGATCACAGAGTGTGCCGGATGCGTGCTGCACGGGCGCATGATGGGTGTGGTTCCTGGAGGACATCTATGGACGCCCTTCCAAAACTGGATGAACGCACTGTAGCCATCTTTCAGCTTTAGTACGGTCAAGAATTGGTTAAGATTTGCCAACAAAACCTGGAAGCTGGTTGTTTTTTATGCAGAGCTTCACCAGAATTTGCACCATGCAGTTTTAGTAAATTTCCCTGTGTTTTGTTTTTCTTTTTTTTATCCCTTAGAAACTAAAATTTTTTAAATTACATATCCATGTTGAATATTTGCAGTTTAACGGGCTATGAGTTCTATAAAGGCACACAGCAATCTGTGTACACAAGGCCTAATTCAGTACCCAAGTGTCTGATTGTTTGAAATATGTGCCATTTCTGTAACTGATGATGTGTACTATAACTTATAGTTTCTATCCAATGAATGCTTATTCTTGCTTATTCTTCAATGAAAATTGGGTAATTTTTAATTTCTCAGATTCATGGATAACCTTCAGACTGAAGTACTTGAGATAGAGTTCCTGTCCTATTCTAAAGGCATGAATACCATCAGTGAAGAAGACTTTGCCCACATTCTCTTACGCTACACAAATGTGGAAAACACATCAAGTTACTTGGAGAGTGTACGTGTACGAATACCAGAAGAAAAGGTGATTTCCTTTCAGCATGTCTGCAAAAAATATGAATTGTTTTCTATTTTCTTACTTTCCAATAAATTTACACAGCACATATGACATATTACTGTCAAACTTCACATGTTAAAAAAGTAGACTTTAGGTAATTCCATGCAGTTATCTGCAGATCAAAGGCTCACCTGGGACATGGTTAATTTCTGTATGATTACCATAATTGTATGTGTTGTGATCGAGGGGGGAGGGGGGGGTGGATGTTTAACTCTAGTGGTAGATGTGTTTTCCCAGTGAGTTTACTTCAGTCCATACTTTATTTATAGTGGTTGTAAACCCCACGTGCCACAAATATGAAAAACTAACAAATCTTTGTAGTCTGTACCATAAGCAAGTTATCGTATTATTTGTACCTTGTTTGTCACTCTTTATTCCCATTATGGGCTGCCGAATATCTCCGGTTTTGTGTGCGGCAACAGCCCGGAGCTCAGGAAGCGGAGTCTTGAAGTCACCGGACTCCCCTTTCTGTGGCAGCACGACTGCTGCTAGTACACTGCTTTTCTGGCTCACTTAGCCTTGGTGGCCTACTCCTGACTTCAAACAGGATTCTCCAGCCCCCTGGGTACACTTACTCTCTTAGACCTACAACCTTCCTGGACCCCCTAACTGCCTCAGTTTTCTCAGCCTCCCAGACCCTCTCTTAATCTCTCAAGCCCTGCGTAATTGTCCCGGATCTCCTGTCCTATGGCAAGAAGTCCCCCACACCAGCAGTGCAGTCTCTGATAGGCACCACCAGATCTCCAGATGAGGTTGGTCCCCACACAGCAGCAAATGCAACTCCAACTGCCACGCCTACTCCACCAGCAACTCTCACCAGACCACCATTATAAGGACTGTGTGCACCTTGGTACACACCTTGCTGGTTGTCCACAACACACGGACAATGGGTTGGAGAGTTTTTCCCTCCCATGGTACTTTGAAATCTCCTAACTACAGAGCCCCATCAGAAAATAACAAAATCCAGAGAAAGCTGCAAGAGCAGTTTTCTCCGCTCAAAAGCAACGCTCTGTAGTCCTGCATTAAGCAAACATGCAAATCCTGTGTCCTTTCCTATCCACAGTAGCAGAGCCTCAAACACAAAAAAATAAACAGTATGGAGAAATACATTTTTCTATACTGCTGATTTTCTTGTTTCAACTCATTAGATTGTAAGCTCTAATGAAGAGGGCCCTCTGTTTCCTCGTGTACCAAATTGTATTGTAACTGTCTACCTTAATTTTGTAAAGCGCTGCGCAAACTGTTGCCGCTATATAAATACTATATAATAATAATAGTGTAATTCCAGCTGTCACTTTTAAGCCTTCTTTACCTAAAATGACAGCTACTGCAAATCCATAGACTTCACAGCAAATGTCATCGTTTTCTGTGCAAGTATAAGAATTTTATATGCTGTATATTGCTGTCAATGTAACTAGCAGACATTTCATCCCAAGTTGCTTTTTATTTAGGTTTACTGTCCTTTTAGCGCTGTTAACTTCTGTCTCTAACCCTAAATTTGCTAAAGATTAAGGTGCACAGTGTTAAAACGTAGCTTCAGGCAAAAATTTTAATACACAGATAATATATACTATATATAGCACAAAACTGATATAGTAGTTATAGATGGCTCCTGAGGAGGTCAGCCCCTGGCTTCATACATGTTATGGATACTCCAGCAGTGAGATCTCCCTGACATTATCCCTGGCTTTGTTCCTTTCCACATTGGGAGTTTTGGATGCTACTGTTTACCCTGTGAATGTTTGAGCGCCTCCTTTATACATTCTTCACAATATAATATGAATAGCAGCTACAGCAGGTAGAGTGGGAGCCTCAATTGCCAGATGATCTAAAGGACGGATATTTCAACAAAAGAGTCCTCAAAACATAAATACATTGTCAGTTGTTTTAACTCCCCGGCATCTACTAAAAATTGTGATTTCAATTCTGGATGGATTGACCCTTTAAACTATTGTATGTATCTAAATTATATGTGCAAGAACAAAGGATGCATCTTTTTTTTTATTTTCAGAGGTGAAAAGATAGAATTTCACTTTGTACTCCCAAGTGACAGATTTGGTCTCCTTTTTGTTTGGAGACTTGAAGGTTTTATTGATGAGACTGCTCTGCTGCCAAGAAGAGAATTTCAAAGTGTTCTGAATAACTGATGGGTTTCTTAGAACCTTGTGTATCTAACTGGTTCATTTCTTGTGTAACAAATGCATTGTATGACTGGTACCTGTGCAATAGAAATACCTATTGGCAAAAAAATGCCTCAGTGCAAACAAATAGGGCTGATGCTACAAGTAGTCCCTGAGGCGTGGGATGTTTGGGATGTATTCTTCTGTTTGTATTTGTGGTAGGATCAGGTTAATCTGTATTAAGGAAAACTTGCAAACAGTTTTGTCTTTGCCCGTAATGGCTACACTTTGGCAGTGTTGACAGTGCTGCTTGTGGACTAGAAAACCTTAAAGTGTACTTAGAGCAAGACCTATTGTTACCAAGACTTTCATCTTACTGCTTGGTCAAAAGATGAATGGCCTTTAATTGAGCGGTGTGTCAATGGTTTCTCATCGCTTCTCACCATATAAAAAAACAAGTATTGTTGTATCATTTAGGAAAGTATGTGGAACATACTATTTATTGGCTTTCACCTACATTTAACACCTCTTTGTTTTATTTCTCTGTTGTAATGTAAGCACAAGGGTCGTGTTTGAAATGTTAATGACTGAAGACTGAAAGTTGTCTGTTTGTATTGAGGATATGTATGGCAGCCCATGTATCTAGGTATAAGGTGATTTACGGGAAGTCGACCTGTTACCGCACAGTTATACACAGTTACACCATTACGACAGCAGGCGTACATACGTGTCTACAGTAGTCTTTAAAGTTATCTTCTCATTCCAAGGGAATGGTATAGAATTTGGAGCACTGTTATGAATCCTGGCTTGGCAAGGTCAAGGGAGCTGTCATACCCCCTCCTTGAGATATGCCTTAATGTACTCTATTACCTGCTCAAACAGTGTAGAAGACAGAGAGAGCTGTGTAAACAATAATATGCAGCCTATCTATAAAAGGAACAGAGCATTATGGGAAAGTTGACAGGAACATAGCATGGGAGTTCCCTGCTATACTTGCAACAGGCAAGGGAACAGTTTTGCAGAAGACTACAGGTGTGGGCAGACATTTTACCGTATAGAAAATGTTTGGATGTAAAGTAATCGACTAGAACTTAATATTTACTGTACATTTTCTACTCAAGCTACTGTACATAGGTAGTTGTCACCCATACCCTTTTACGTAGAAGCAGGTTTTGTTAATAGGACATCTACTTTAAGAATAGAATTTTCAGCAGCCTGAGAGATCTGAGGTCATTTCCATCTTCCTGATCAAAGGTGGATTTCTTTTTTCACACCATACCTGACTAGACATGATCAAGGCAGATTCACCAAACTGTCAAATTTAGTCGTCTGCTACAGATGAAGTTCACTGCTATTGAGTGACAGAGAATATCCCTTCTCTGCCTCTGCCGATGGAGAGCTTTTAAGAGTGGAGGTGGTTACAATTTGGTGCACAATTCAGAAGGATCTAAACAGTAGTGAGCAACACTTTGAGGTTGATTTACTAAAACTGGGGAGTGAAAAATCTGGAGCGGCTCTTCAGAGAAACTTATCAGCTTGCGTTTTTTTTTTTGTCAGAGCTTAATTGTCCAAGCTGAAGTTAGAAGCTGATTGACTACCATGCACATCTGAACCAAATTTTGCACTCTCCAGTTTTAGTAAATTAACCCTTATGTGAGTGTTTGTGACTAGAGGTGAGAAAAGCGATTTGCGATATTCTAGGAATCATACACCAGGGAATGGACAAGTCTGATACTTTCCAGCCAGGCCATTTCTATGCATTACATTTGTCAGGGTGAAAATCAAAAGCCATAGCATTTTTAAATAAAAAAAGAAAGAAAATCTGGAAATATGAGGTTATATTGGTCTGTATAACTTATGCATGTTCAGTTGCATGAGAAGTTATAGTAAAGGGTACAGTAATCCAGGCATTGGTCACGGTACCAGAATGGATAGAGGTCAGAGATTGGACACAGCCAATCAACATTGGGGCTGATTTACTAAAACTAGAGAGTGCAAAATCTGGTGCAGCTGTGCATTGTAGCCAATCAACTTATAACTTCAGCTTTTTCAAATAATCTTTGACAAAAAAAAAATGGAAACTGATTGGTTTCTGTGCAGAGCTGCACCAGATTTTGCACTCTCCAGTTTTTGTAAATCAACCCCATCATCTAACTGTTTTTGATATTTGTGATGTTTAAAGTCTGCTGCTGAAAGGAAAGCTTTTGTGCCATGTGATGACTCATATAATAGAGAGAGAGCAAATAGTAATGGCTGTATTTTGCTACATTCTCAAAATAAAGGGGTGGTGGAGGTGCCAAAGCCCCTACAAATATCAGCTTTCTGAAAATATTATTATGTGCTTAAGGTTTTCAAGAACTCCGAAAGGGCTCTGCTGGGGCAAAGTAAAGATACATTGAGCATACTATGATCCTTTTCCTTTAAATTTTCACTGGTAAATTCAGGTTAATATTAAGTGCCGGTTCACATATACGCGGATTGGATGCGGGTTGAACCACATCCAATCCGCATGACATGTGAAATAACATTGCTTCCTATGGTGCCTGTTCACATATGTCTAGTGCACGGGCGGTGCAGATTCAGTGCGATTTTGAAAGAGTCCTGTACAATTTCTGAGCAGTGCCTTCGGGTTCAGGTGCGAATTACAGCCTATTAACTTCTATAGGAACCGATTCTAAACCACATATGTGTGAACAGGATAAAATCCTGAGCTAATCCTGTCCTGAACCTGATGTAAACCTGACATGAACCGCTGAACAACTATTGTATCAATTAGCTGTGAAACCTAAGCTTCAATCTACACTGCACATGTGTGAATAAGCTCCAATACATAAATAACACTGAAAATAAAAGTTGAATGTATTTAGTACTTGGGTGATTCAGTGGATCATTACGTCATTACTTTTCCCTTCATGCTTTCCTGTGTTACGCTTCTTAAAGCTGCAGTGACAGGTAGGTGGATAGAAGGGTCCAGTATTCAGGAAGTGATAGCTCCTGAACTAGGATAGAGACATCTGTACATCCGTTCATTTGCTGGTCATTGCAGTTTCTGGTCAGTGTGACATGAACATTCTACCGAACCACCAATGTACACCTTTGTCTACCTATAAAACAGCCATGCTTTTTAGGCAAAACAAAGTTGCCAACATTTGAGAATAGTTTAAGGAGATACTTTGCTTCCAGGCTTTTATCAAAACTGGAGCAAAGAGAATTTTGGGCAGCTGTGCATAGTAACCAAATAGTTTTAGTTAAAGCAGAACTATACCCTGATATCATTTATAGCCAATAAGGCTGCCATTTTAGCCTCTGTTTGATCTGTAGTTACCATAGTGCTGCTTGTGTGATTAGTTATGACACCAGCCATTTGATGGCTTGACAGTTCGGTTGAGAGCACAAGCAAATGTGAATTTTCATTCATGGCATGCCATGAATGTAACTATTTTGGGAAACCATTAAATTGATGGGTTTAATTCTGCTTTAGAATTTGAAAATGAAAGCTAAAAGCTGACTGGTTACCATGCCCAGCTGCTCAAGATTCTGGTTGCTCCAGTTTTGATACATTCCCATCCATATATGGGTATTTCCTGATTTTGTTGGTTGTTGTGTCAGCTTTTATGTCTAGCGATTTGCTGGGTATCGCATGTCAAGCCTGGCTCCTCTACAGAGTCAGAATGTTAACAATGTGTTTGCTTACATGTTGACCCAACGTGCCTTTCATGTAAGTAAACACTATTTTCAAACTGCCTTTAAAGTTTTTCTTCTCTCTCTGGCTCGTAAATGATGAAAATACCTGATTAGGTAAACATTTATTCAATCCTTCCACAAGAAACCCTACTCACTGGATAGAGAAATAAAAGGTTTACTTTTTCTTTCGCTCTGAAAGAGGAAATAAAAAGAGATCACTCTGAATGTATGAAATGGTTTATGAAAAGGATTCGTCCACATTTCAGTTATAGATACTGGACCAAGGCACCTTCCAGGAGCCCCCTGAAGTAGTTGCATCCAACTAAAATTTCGGCTGTTCCCATTCCACCTGCTGCATTCTTCATATTATATAGTGAAATAAACATTCCATGGGGAGAGTGGAGCTTATTGGCCTTGTTAGGTGTTCAGATTTAGAATTCTCGATCAGAGATATTACTTACAGAGGACCCAGGAGACAATGGAACCTGGAAACCAGGGGTTTAACTCCAGTATCCTCCACAAAAGTACTAAAAAATTTTTTATAAGGCAGTACAGAGTATGATATGATGATGATATGCAAAGTGTGAAGAACCCATACTAATCAATTGGATCTGAATTTTTTAGAGTGGTTTGATATTGATTCTTGTATTTTGCCATATATCAAATAAACCCAGTCTATAGCACCCAGCCAGCGCATGCTCGTTGTTGCACACAGTGCCCAAAGTTTATTTCAGTCAGTGTTAAACAGAGCTAGTTTGATGCATGTGAAACATTTAACTGCTGCAAAAATGTATGAGAAAACAAATGTTAATTAATAAAAAAAAAATGGAAAAGTACATTGAATGTCAATTGCCAAAATTATATTAGTGATGCAATATTCAATGATGCAATAACAATGGATGCAACTTTACTGCAGAGTCCACGAGATTCAACTAAATGCTTTGAATTTCAGTACCTGATTACAGTCAGCAGTTAGATTAGTAATTTCTTTTTGTTCCACCAGTGAGTGTGTGGATGGGAGAATCCTCCCCTCTGAGTTATTGTATTCTGGCAGCAGTGAGACTTCCCCTGCCTTCAGAATACACTGGTCAGTGCTGCCGGCTATCCGGCAGTATTGATCAAGAGGAGAAAATCCAACAGGACGGTTGTACAGAAGTTGATTGGTAGCTTTCATATTGCATATTAATATTTTATGTTTTTAGTCAGCAGGTGGAGCTTTAGTCTCCAAAAACTGTTTAATAACCTGTTGTAAAGAGCCTGTTTACAGGTCTCCATAGCTAAAGCTACAATTTGAACACATGACAGTCTGAATTACTTATCTCCGTGACTCATCCATTATTAAAGGGCTTAGTTCAATGTTGCAGTCAGACAAAGCCGGTGGTGGGGGCAGGCTGAGATTGCTGTGCTAGCTTTTTAAATAACTCATAGTGCTCTGGTAATCCTTTGTCATGTACTAAATGTTTATTTGTTGAACAAAGAGATTATACACATAGTTAATAAAAACCAATATAAAACATTTGTTTAGAAATTTAAAAAAAAATGTCATAAAATTATTAGAGATAACTTGTTGCACCTGTTTCTGGATTAGGCTTTAGTCTATGTTCTATGCAGTGCAGCTTCTTTAAGTACAGAGGGTGGTGCTTTAAGCCAGGTAACACTTAAAGCGGAAATAAACTCAAACAAATGTTTCCTATTGTGTTCCTCCCCCCTCCCTCTTACTCAAATGCTAATGAAATCTTTTCTAATTTTTACCTATCAGCTGCTTTCTATGCTGAAAGAGAACACTTCTAGGTTTCCAGCCTAGACCAGTCCCCTGCATGCTCCTGGGATTGTTACGTCAAATTCATCCCGGGATGCAGCGTGCTACTTTGTGTGCTGCCAGTCTCTTCCAGCTTCCAAATGCCTGGAAGAGACTGGCAGTACATTTGCACACATGCAGGTTTTTTTTTTTTTTTTTTAAATGACAATGTGGAGTTGGGGTGGGGGAGAGAATTCACAAGCAGTTTAGTCCCTCTTTAGTTTAGGTTCACACCTATGCAGGTTGCGTTTGAGGCATTTCTGCATTACGTTTTTGCTGCGTTTTTGCTGCGTTTTATGTTTTTTATCCATTTTCTTTATTTTTCTTGTTGCTAGGCAGATTTTAAATGCAAAACGCAGCAGAAACGCAATACATGCTTTTCTGCAGCATTCCCAATTGAAGTCTATAGAACCAAAAACGCAATGTTTTGCGTTAAAAAAAAAGTCCCTGACCCTTTCCAAAAATGCGTTGGATGAAAACGCGAAGATGTGAACCATAGGAAATCATGTTAAATGGACTGTACAGCTTTTCTGCAAAACGCAGGCAGCAAATGCTTGGGTGTGAACCTGGGGTTAACCTGTTTCATCTGCAGGATTAAGGACTACTCAGCATTAATTGCAAGCAGGGCAAGCAGCTGCACAAGATGCATGCCACAGAATTAGGCTTTCAAACTAATGTTTATGTTAAGTTTTTTACATCTGACAGCAGTATATACTTGAATACATTTTATATAAAATGCGGACCCTCTCTTTTGGTCCTCCTTTGCTGTAGCACAAGCTTGTTCAGTTACTGTGAAAAAGAAATTAAAATTTGTCCAGCAGGTTTTATTACTATTCATGTGAATCTACCATGTACCTATCATTTTGTTTGGAACAGAAAATGGTGTGTTTGGAGTCGTGATGAAAATGTAATGTAATAAAATGCTTTGGAACTATTTACAGTGTACTAAATGAGCAGAAAAGCCTGCATCAAAAGCGGTGCACTAATATGAAGTGATATGAACTTCCTTGATCCAATAATGACAGTAATACACTGAAAGATCATTCCATCTAAAATACACATTCTATTTTATGGTAGATTAGGACTGGCAGATGGAACAGTTAACACTTTGGTGACCATGGGCCAAATTTAACAGTGTTAGCATATGTCAGTTAAATTGGCAGCAACTCTGTGGAGTATATTTTCAAAGCAGTTAATGTGACAGTCAGCAAATGATTAACCACCTGGGAATATATGGTGAAGGTCACATTCACTGTCTTAAAATATGCCCCATGACTCATTTGCATACTTATTTTTAAAAACATATAATGATTTTATTTGGTAGTGTTTTAATAATACCATGCTCCATTTTTTTTTTTTATAATGGACTGACAAATGAGCAAAAACGGTAATGGAGTGATTTCCAGATTTCACGAGGCAAGGTACGAAACATGCATACTTCCATTAGTCCAAGCTGGACCAATGTAACTAAGCAAAAATATCCATACCTGGGACTCAGCGAGCTGATGCAGCCAACAGTGCTAGATTACTGGAGCCTGGAAGCATTGCATTATGCTATTTCTGCTGGCTGCAGTGCAGAGAGATCAGAAAGTTCAGTTTGGTACAGGAAATATCAGGTTGCATATTACAACCTTCTAAATGACTTTTATTCATCGCCTGCTGATACTTTCATCTACTTATCTAGATAAAATCATTAGGAACTAACCTTGGCTTTCTGCTCTGCTTCTCAGGGAATCTCATTTGATGACTTTAGATCCTTCTTCCAGTTTCTCAACAATCTAGAAGACTTTGCCATTGCAATGCAAATGTACAACTTTGCAAATCGATCAATTGGCCAAGGTGAGTGACTATGATCTTACTAACAAAAAAACAATCAGGATGCTTTTTCTGTGTTCCACTATTTAAAAAAAAAAAAATCAATAAATACACCCATATTGAAGAAAGCATTGCAATCATGATCAGTGGACCGTGGGTGCAATGCACAGGCTCCTGCAGGCTAATCCTCCAGCCTCTTTCAGTTACGGAGCTGGAGGAAGTATAAATTGACTTGAAGTGTGGTGACATCACCACCCTTGTGTTTCATTGAGAGAACCTTATCCTTCTGCTGCAGTGGCAGATGGTAAAGATAGTGTCTTCATTCACATAGCTCCGTGAGTGGATGACACAGTCGTATGGTCAGAGCCACGCACAGCTGTTCCGTATTCCAAATGAAACAGATATCTACAGAGAAAACAACCCTAAAAGTCAGGTGAATTTGGAGGGGGTGGTTTGGGGCTGGGGGATGTCTAATGGCACTGTGTTTGGGTCCATTCACATAAGGCACTTCACTGCAGGCCCCAAGCAGGTCCATGTTTTTCTGGCACAAGGATGCACAGGTGTTGCTTGCATTCCTCTGCCAGTGTTCTATTAATTTGTGTTTGGGACACGTAGCTGTGAGGACACAGCTGCTGTGTCCTAATATGACATGTGGGTGAGTACAGATCCCTGATCTCATATAGGGTGCATTCGGAGACCCTGCACTTACCCCCATGTCATATTAGGACACAGAAGAAATGAATGGGACACTGGCACGGGGATGCAATCAACATCATGTGCATCCTTGTGCCTGGAATGGAGCCAAACACAGTGCCATTAGCCATCCCTTAACCCAACCACCCCTCCAGGTTTACCTGACTTTTAGAATCTCAGCATCCTTGTGCTGGGAAGACATGGACCTGCATGGGGCCCGCAGTAAAGCGCCTTTTTTTTTGAATGAATGAACCCAAATACAGTGCCATTAGCCTTCCCTTAACCCCAAACCACCCCTCCAGGTTTACCTGACTTTTAGAATCTCAGCATCCTTGTGCTGGGAAGACATGGACCTGCATGGGGCCCGCAGTAAAGCGCCTTTTTTGTGAATGAACCCAAATACAGTGCCATTAGCCATCCCTTAACCCCAAACCATCCCCTCAAAATTTACCTGACTTTTAGGGTCTCAGCATCCTTGTGCTGGGAAGACATGGACCTGCATGGGGTCCACAGTAAAAGCGCCTTTTGTGAATGGACCCAAACACAGTGCCATTAGCCATCCCTTAACCCCAAACCATCCCCTCCAAATTTAGCTGACTATCAGGGTCTCAGCATCCTTGTGCTGGGAAGACATGGACCTGCATGGGGCCCGCAGTAAAGTGCACCATGTGGATGGAGCCTTACATGTTATACCCTAAATATGGTGTAACATGACGTGCTGCGAAAGATGACTTATTGGACAAAGAAAAATGTGCAAAGTTGCAAATAAGGGTAACAGAATCAAAAAGTAAATAGAACATTGTCAAAAATTGGAAATTAATATATTTAAACAAATGATGAACTAAGTTTTCCTATCAAATATAATCAAATATAAAAGAAAAACGTGCCAAAGATAGCCTTCAGATGGGCACATGTACACAAATTATTAAATGCTCTGGAAGGTTTTTAATAGCAGTTTACCACATACACATTAATGGGCCCCCTTTCCTCCCAATCTAACATGCCCATCAGGTTTTCCAGCACAGCGGAAATTAGAATGTTCTGTTTAGACACAGCATATAGCAGTACCAAAAAATGATCACGACACTGTCACTATATGAAAGTGTTGAAGCCCAGCCATACTTGTTATAGAAGACAGAATTTACTTTTTCCGCCGCCTGCTCCACTGAACTTCTATACAAAGCTTAGAAATATTCTGCTGAGGTCTGAAGGACAACTAGGAATGTTGATCCCCTGAGTTCTGCACAGCTCACAATGGTTCCTCCCGCTGACCTCCACTCATTACAGGATACAACAATGACATGGAAATCCGAGGATATGGTCCTATCTTCCTTTCAGGAGCATCTCTTACACAAGTCATACACAAAAAGAATACTTTATCTGTAATAGCTAAAAGGAATAAAGCCAATGGGGTTGATTTACTAAAGGCAAATAGGCTGTGCACTGCAAGAGCACTTGGAAATGCACTAAAAGTGCAGTTGCTCTAGATCTGAGGAGAACATGCAAGGACAATAAAAAAACAGCAATTTTTTGGGGGTGATTAATTGGTTGAGAGACATCAGCAGAGCTTTTTTGTCTCTTTTCAGAGCTTCCCCTCAGATATAAAGCAACTGCAATTGTAGTCCACGGTATAATTTCCTTTAGTAAATCAACCCCTATGTGTTTTTGTGGCTTAGGTCTCCTTTTTTTTCAGAGCTTTTAAAGATACCATTTGGAAGTGAGGGTTGAACCATTCAAGAGACCGTTTATGGGTATGTTAGTTGTGACAGAGTGTCAGTGCTGGCAAAGCTATATATGCAATAATTATCGGATATCAGAGCGCAAAAAACAACTTTTCTAAGATTTCCTTGTGTTGAACATTTTATAGAGGCTCACATAGACTCAGCAGAGGATGCTCTGTTCTGTTAATAACGGTCAGTAAGGCTAGGTTCACATATATGCAGGTGGTGCCACTGGGGATTTGCACAAAAATCCACGCACACAGAAGAATGTGGACCCGCAGGCTGGTGCCATTAATTCTAATGGCACGCCGCCCGCACTGGAAAACGCAAACGTACTGGGAACCGAGGTTCCCGTGCGGGCTGCGTTTTCAGAAGTGCAGGGACTTCTTCCCTGAGTGTTCTGGGGCATGGGAGTCCATTCAAATGAAAGGGCTCTCGGGCCTTCGCAAAACGCGTCCCGCAGGAAGGCGGATATGTGAACCAGGGGTAAGACCATGTCTTGTCATAAAACCTTTTGGCGCTATATAAATACTGTATAATAATAATAATAATAATAATAATAATAATAAAAGATAGCTCCCACTGATGCTTGCAGTCTTTAAAAATGAGTCCTGTGCTTAAAGAGACTTAGAAGCTATCATTGCTGTCTTCTGCTTCTGAAATTGCTGGTTTCTTGGCTGACATTATGATCCAATGTCCAGTTTTTATCTGAATCAATGACCTGGAACAAGCAGGTTCTCACTTCATTTTGGCTTTATTTTCTGCACCCTTTTTCTAGGTCAGTGTCTCAAAGTGTGTCAGTGTCTTTGGCATTACAGCAAGGTAACTAGAATGTTTATAAGGAGATCAGCGATAGCAGTCTTCAGGTACTTTTCAGGTTTCTTTTGAAGCTGGACTCCAAGCAAACAGCTAAAAAACACATAATGGGGTTAATTTACTAAAGCTGAGAATGCAAAATCTGGTTCAGCTGTGTATGGTAGTCTATCAGCTTCTAACTTCAGCTTGTTCAAATAGATTTGAAAAAAAATACCTGGAAGCTTATTGGTTTCTATACAGAGCTTCACCAGATTTTGCACTCCAACGCTGTTAGTAAATCAACCCCAATGTAATAAACATAAACATAAGGGGGTTGCTTTACCTACTAAAACAATATTTTTTATCAGCGCATTGGTGAGCTTATCTCTCTGTCACTCGGCTCTCTCTTGCTATCTGTATGCTCCATGTTAGCAAATGAGCTGCTGTTAGAAACCATGGGGCCCCTCACAGCCAACCTGACCGTGCCCCCCTCAAACCACAGGGCCCCATATAGCCAACCTAATAGGGCCCCCCATTTTAAAAAAAAAAAAAAGTTTACTATGCTTCAGTTATGAATGAACACAGTGCATGATCAGTACCAATCACTCATTGTGTTCATTCAGGAATGGAAGGGCTGTTAAATTACTGGAACTGAATCCCCTGTATGTTTCTCTCTACAGCAGCTGAAAGCTAGCTGGAGGGGGGGGTGTCAGGGAGAACAGAGAGAGAGCCATACAGGGGATTGGTTCCAGTAATTGCCCCGCTCACCCTTCCAGCCCACATCTGATTCACCCAGCTGCCTGGGCCCCCCTGCAGGTCTGGGCCCTGTACAGGAGGATTGGTGGTACCCCCTTATCCACATCCCTGACTACAGCACAACTGACTGGCTTTCTTTGCTGTTTCTACCTTTCCCTTTCTGGGTTTTACTGTACTAGGGAGTGCATTAAGTTAATACCATGTGAAATTCAGGTACTTGCACTGCTTGTAGTTAAAACTACATTTTATGATGTATTAATAAATAGAGTGATTCCCCAATTTGGTTAGTGTCCTTTTTTAATGTTTGGGGTTCAGTTTTAGGTAGTAAAGGGCGTACTTTGGGGATTCTGTACTGTACAAGAAACAGCTGTAGTGTGGAAGGTTCATGGTATAGTTCTCGATCCGACTCCCCTTCCTTCTAAACTAAATGAGAGAAGAGCTGTGTATGGTATGCTCATATAGTCAACATATCTACCTCTGCCCTCAGAATGCTGATGTTTCTTTCGTGTGTCATATTTCTCCTCCATGACCAATTAGGATTTAAGAACGCTCAATGACAAAACAAGATGGGAGATTTTCCTCTTATAAGGATTGGCTTTACTCTTTTGATGTGTGCTTTCTCCACAGATGAGTTCAAGCGTGCCGTATATGTAGCTACAGGCCTGAAGCTGTCTCCGCACTTGGTGAACACTGTGTTTAAGATCTTTGATGTTGACAGAGATGATCAATTAAGCTATAAAGAATTTATTGGCATTATGAAAGACCGTCTGCACCGAGGGTTCAGGGTGAGGAATTACTTTGTAACATTTAAGTCGTTCTCGGTGGTCACTACTGTTGCATGGTAGCAGTTTTATACACTGTACAGAGTATACTTGCCTTTATTGTTGATGGCTTCAGTGTGTGTTGCAGAAAATGAAAGCCCAACTCCAGGAATTAAAAAAAAAAAATCCATCCTTGCAGTGATCTGTGTACTTACTTTTTTTTTTTAACCAGTCCAGTTCATTCTTGTGATTCAGCAGCTCCAGCTCCCCTTTGTAAGGGAATGCTCAAGAATGGCTGTGATATCATTCATAGGTAGTACAGTGGCTAGCACTTCTGCCTACCAGCACTACGGTCATTGGTTCAAATCCCAACCATGTCACTACCTGTATAGCCTTTGCCTATTCTCCCTGTGTCTGCATGGGTTTCCTCCCACATTCCAAAGACATGCTGGTAGGTTAATTGGTTCCTGTCTAAATTGGCCCTACTATATGTATGAATGGAAGTTAGGGACTTTGATTGTAAACTCCTCGAGGGCAGGGACTGATGTGAATGTATTTGGAACTTGACAGTCTTATACCTGTAATAATAATAGGCTCTCCTGCCCCAGCCATCATTGGCATTCCCTCCTCTCCCCTGCAGCAGCTGCTCTCTGGCACAGGAGATCCAGAGCTGCTGGATGACATGACTGGACTGGAGTGGATTAAAAAATAGGTAGGTACACACATTTTTGTTAGGTAGAAAAAGAGGTGATGGAATTTTTTTGTTTTTTTTAAAGTTAGGCTTACTCATTATGTCAAGGGGATTACGCCCCAGTGCTCTCCACCTCTACCCAAAGTTAGTCTCAGCATTATAAACATACAACAGGGACATAAGGATATTGTACATATAGGAGGCTGGTGTTTGATTGGAACCGGTCGCAGCTTACAGAGCCACTGCGGGGGACCCTGCAGGGAGGAATAAGCTAAGTATTTACACCTTAATCCTGTTCCCCTAGAGGCCTAGACTGAACGAGATTGATTTTAAGCAACCACATTATTGAAATTGGGGTGAAACCAATTGAAACCAGAATAGCGCGAGTGAAAATGTATATTCTATCAGTTCATCATATTTGCTCACTTCAGAACAGAAAATTGTAGGTGGAGATTTGCGGTGCTTTTAAGGGGTCATCACAGAGGTTGATTTACTAAAACTGGAGAGTGCAAAATCTGGTGCAGCTCTGCATAGAATCGGCTTCCATTTTTTTTGTCAAAGTTTACTTGAACAAGCTGAAGTTAGAAGCTGATTGGCTACCACACACATCTACTCCAGATTTTGCACTCTCCAGTTTCAGTAAATCAACCCCCAAAGTGTACTGGGCTTAGATACATAGACTCATTGGCATCAGCTTCTGTTCTCTGATGACGCATACAATTAAATGAATAATTTAATTAATTAAATGAAACGCATACACACCATAGGACCTGTTTGGGAAGAAGCCAGGTAACTTACTGGTATAGTTTTAAAGCTACATGGAAAGAGTGAGTGCAAACCACATAGCCAATATGGTGACCACAGTAGAGCCTTGGCACCTCCATAGGAATGAGGATGGGGAAGATCTTATTGTCTGCAGCATGAATAGCATTATAGCCAAATCCTGTTCTACTTCTGATCATTTTTTAATTTACGCTTTAAATTTAAATCACCGTTTTTGACAAGAAAAATCAATCCTCTTCATCTATATCAGGGGTGGGGCTGACAACTCATGCGGCCCCCGGGCAATAGGGACACATGGGGCCCCTGTGTCCTTGCTCAAAAAAAGCCTATGAAAAAGGTACCAGGGGCATCTCATGGGGCCCCCTACTGACCCCGGCCCCTCGGGCAGTGCCCGAGTTTCCAAATGGTCAGTCTGCCCCTGATCTATATGCATTCCAAGGATTTTAGGAAACTAATTTAGACTTTTACCCGCTTCTCCATTGTAGATACTGAAGCATTCCATTGCAGGATTTCCTCAAACAGAATGATTTTGATAGTACTGAGCGTGAGGACTAGTGAGCCAATCATATGGGTGTTACTTGACATTTTTTTAATAATGGTGAATTGTAATGGCTTTTGTAGAAATAATATAAACTTTTAGAGTGGCGTTGTTCTTTAAGATAGAACATCTGTATGTGAACCAGCTGTCCTTTTCATGAGTGACTGATGAAGGGTAATTACACATTACATATCAGAGTGATAACTGTGCAATATTTTTAGATACAATTACATCCTAGTAAATTTTGGAAGAATTCATTATTTGCATTTTTAGTTTAAGATATGTTGTGCTGCCACCTGCTGTTCAAATATGTAGGCATTGAGTCCTAAACAAAAAAAAAAAGCTAGTGTGTGAGATCAGAAAAAAATGTATTGTGCAAATCAAGGTGGTTCAGATACTTTAAAGGTGACCAGCCAATGTCTAATATGCATCTAAGCATTTGCATGAAACCCAGCAGAGTGACACTATGGGGTTGATTTACTAAAACTGTAGAATGCAAAAGCTGGTGCAATTGTACATGGTAACCAATCAGCTTCTAACTGCAGCTTGTTCAATTAAAGTGGTTCTAAAGACTGAAGGTTTTTTTACCTTCATGTATTCTATGCATGAAGATAAAACATCTTTTGTGTGCAGCAGCTCCCCAGACCCCCCCCCCCCCCCGCTCCATCCCTATCTGAGCCCTCTCCAATCCAGCGACGTTAAGGACCACCTCTGCTGTGTGGGGAATTTTCCTCCTCATTGGCTGTCAATCACAGCCAGTGAGCCAATGAGGAGAGGGGATGTGGGGCTGAGACACAGTTCTATATGTCTTGTGGACGCGTAGAGCAGTGGCTCAGGGACGAGCATGCAGCAGTGCCTCCAGGGCGAGCTGATTTCCCTGGGGGGTACTGCTTAAGGGGAAGGAGCCAGGAGCGCCAGCGGGGACTGGAAAAGAAGAGGACCAGGGCTGCTTTGTGCAAAACCATTGCACAGAGCATGTAAGTATAGACATGTTTGTTATTTTAAGAAAAACTAAGCTTTCGTGTCAGTATAAGCTTTGAATAAAAAACCTGGAAGCTGATTGGCTACCATGCACAGTTTTAGTAAATCAACCCCTATGTGCTTAGTTTACTGGCCGTACTTCGGAATCTAGGAGATTCAATGTAAATCCTTTTAATCTCAAAATCCTATGGCTGTATTTGGTGCATCCCTTCTTATCTGTCTGGTTCGGATTTCTCTGTAGCCCACACTGGAGCACTGAATTGAATAGTATGTATTTTGCATAAAAAATGTTTTGGAAAGTTAGTACAGCAGGCATCTTTTACTCATGGCTTTCTTGTCAAATGTCCTGGAAGGTGCACTCACTTAGACCTTCACTAGACTTTAAATCACTGAATCCAGTGCAGTCTGATCCAGAATGCACAGAAAGCCCCCAGTACTATCACACCCACCCCATGTACATGAACTATTAGATCACTTGTAAATTGTCTAGACCAGGGATCTCCAAACTATGGCCCAACACATGTCTGGTCACTACAAGATTTTATCAAGCTCACAGCTGGGGTCAGTGGTGTATCCTTAATGTGCACTGATTGAGGATTAGGTCAGTCAGAGGCTGTCTATGGTCTCTACTTTTGATATTAGGGGGATCACTGATAAGAACCCTGAAGTAAGAGCAGGACTCTGAGGCAACCTTGATGTAAGGGGGTACTCTGATAGAGACCCTGATGTAAGGGGGAATCTGTTGGGTCCCTGTTTTAAGATGGACTCTGATGTACGGCAGGACTGTGAGGGGACCTGATGTAAGGGGGACGCTGATGTAAAGGGGGATTTGATGGGGACCCTGATGTAAGGTGGGACTGTGATGTTAAGGAGGACTTTGATAGTGACTTGATGTAAAGGGGAACTCTGATGAGAATCCTGATTTAAGGGGTGACTCTGATGGGGACCCTGATTTAAGGGGGGTTCTGATGTAAGGCAGGACTCTGATGGTTACCCTGATTTAAGGGCGATTCTCATGCAAGACAAGACTTTGATGGGGACCCCAATGTAAGGCGGGACTTTTATGTAAGGAGAACTCTGATAAGGACCCAGATGTAAAAGAACCCTAATTGGGATTTTTTCAACCTCCAAACATACGTCATGTCCCTTGTGTTGAAAAGTGTGAAAACCCCTGGTCTATACCAATTGATTCACATCTTGGGGAGAATGTGCTTATATTTTTAGAGTAGACTTGTTGCAATGTATTTATACTACCTAGCACTTCAGTACTGTGTAAGTCTGAGAAATGAAGACTGCACTGTCCAGAAATGTGGGTGGCTATAAGCCTGGCCATTTATCTAACCCCATAAAGGTTCCATAGAATGAGTGTCCCATGTTATAGAAAGGAGACACTACTCCTGCACATAGTCCTAGCACAGTCCTGCTCGTGTATATGGTTGTGCTGCAAAGTCTGCATATCCTGGCACATACTGGCAAATCGTGAAACTTTGGCATTGATATTGAAAATACGACTGATCATGCCAAAAAACACTCTTTTATTTAAAGACAGTGATCATATGAAGCCATTTATTATCACATAGTAGTTTTTCTCCTTTTTAAATTATAATGATGGCCCTGATCAAAACTTTACATACCCTTGCATTTTTGACCTTGGTACAGACACACAAAGTGATAAACACAGGTTAAAATGGCAGTTAAATGTTACATTTCCGCATCTGTGGCTTTTTAAATTGAAATTAGTGTCTGTGTATAAATATTCAGTGAGTTTGTTAGCTCTCACATGGATGTACTGAGCAGGCTAGATACTGAGCCAGGGGGAACAGAAAGGAACTGTCAAAAGACCTGTGTAACAAGGTAATGGAACTTTATAACAATATATAAAGATATCCAAAGCCATCAATATGCTAGTCAGTACTGTTCAACCACCTATTAAGAAGTAGAATATTCGGGATCTCTTGATACCAAACCATGGTCAAGTAGACTAAGAAAGAGGAATTGTTTGGGATACAAAGAAAAACCCACAGGTAACCTCAGGAGAAATACAGGCTGTTCTGGAAAAGGACAGTATGGTTGTTTCAAGGATCTCAATACGACAATGCCTTAACATGTCTTACAGTTTCTAACATACTGTAATCTGGAGTGACAGCACCAAAATAGAGCTTTATGATCACAACCATAAGCGCTATGTTTAGAGAGGGGTCAACAAGGCCTATAGCGACAAGCATACCATCCCCACTGTGAAGCATGGTGGTGGCTCACTGATGTTTTAGGGGTGTGTGATCTCTAATGGCATGAAGAATTTTGTGAAAATTCATGGCAAGATGAATGCAGCATGTTATCAGAAAATACTGGGAGACAATTTGCAAGAAAGCTGCTCATGGGACGTTATTGGATTTTCCAGCATGAAAATCCAGAAGGCCAAGTTGACCCTCTAATGGTTACAGAAGAAAAGGTGAAGGTTCTGGAGTGGCCATCACAGTCTCCTGACCTTAATATCATTGAGCCACTCTGGGGAGATCTCAAACGTGCGGTTCATGCAAGACGACCAAAGACTTTGCATGACCTGGAAGTATCTTGCCAAGACGAATGGGCAGCTATAGCACCTACAAGCATTCGAAGCTTCATAGACAACTATTACAAAACACTGCACACTGTCATTGATGGTAAAGGGGGCAATACACAGTACTGAGAACTAAGGGTATGCAGACTTTTGAACAGGGGTCATTTCATTTGTTTACTTGTTGCCATGTTTTGTTTTATGATTGTGCCATTCTGTTATGACCTACAGCTGAATAGGAATACCATAAGTAATAAAAGAAATGTGTTTTGTCTGCTCAGTTATGTTTTCTTTAAAAATGGTACAACATTTTCCAAGGGAATGCAAACTTTTGAGCAAAACTGTATTTCCTCACATGGATCTAATGTTTACATGAATATACCGGGACTAAATGTTCCCATAGACCTTCTGTGACGGCCATCTCCTTACTGTTGCACAATCCTTTAAAAACTTGAGTTACATATTAGTGCAGATTTTACGAAAACAGACTTGCATGCTGTTAAATGTGTTCTTTTCCACCTTTACTGTCTGAAACCTTTGAGCATTCGATTTCTTTATGTTGTTCTGCTATTCGGACACAACTCGTGCTTGGTGTAGACTGATTATAGTTTTCAGGTGCAGCACTTCACAAGACCTTCCTATAACAGTAAATACACTGTTTATACCTGGACCTGTAAGAAATATTGCTCTATTTTATTTTATTCTACAGAATTTTATTCCTTAAGTCTGTTTACTGTCACACATAACATGTTCTTCTACTCTCGGAAACTAACCAATCACGTATTTTTGTATTGTATTTTTTACACTCTTCTCTGGCTGCTTCACCATCTTTGTATCCGCACCCATCTCTTCTGCTGTGCAGGGTTACAAAACTGAGCAGAAATATACCTCTTTCCGAGCCTGTCTGAAGAAACAGCTCAATAGTAGATAAGTAAGTCGCCTCTCTGTTTAATCCAGTCAGCAATATAATATCCGTTGTTTTAATGTTTAGGATTACCATACACCGAGCAACTCCTGGAGCCTGTTGACAGTGTAATGAAATGGCTCCGCACAGTACCATAATCAGTCAAAATATATATAATAAGTATGCTGAACACTGGGACAATATACAGTTATGTTTTTTGAATTTACATTTTTAAAGAGGAGTTTGTACAGAAAAAGAGAGCAAAAAAGAACAGACAAGGGAGCACTCTCATCGTGCATTACCCTGGTATACCACATATTTATTAAATAGACAAAAGGATGTATACTCACAAACCAACGCTAATAAAAGCAGTGTGTATGGTCCACAAAAACAGTCGCAAAAGAGCTGTGTCTCTATTGCAGATAAGCTAACGCGTTTCAGGAGCTGAACCCCCTTCAAGGGGGCGTTAGCTTATCCGCAAAAAAGACACAGCTCTTTTGCGACTGTTTTTGTGGACCATACACACTGCTTTTATTATCGTTGGTTTGTGAGTATACATCATTTTGTCTATTTAATAAATATGTGGTATATCATGGTAATGCACGATAAGAGTGTGCCCTTGTCTGTTCTTCTTTGTCAGTGGTCAGATTTCCCGATCTTTGAAGGGCAGCACCTCTTCGTTTGGCATCCTGACATTTTTCCAGTTTGCATGAGGATTGGAGCGCTGGTTTTGTTTGTTCATCTTTAGAAGAAGAGAGCATATGACAGCGGGCAGTATGTCCTGGAGAGGAGTGTAGAGGGTATGACAGTGGGCATTATATACAGGAGAGGAGTGCGAGGGGTATTACAGAGGGCAGTATGTACAGGAGAGGAGTGCGAGGGGTGTTACAGTGGGCAGCATGTACAGGAGAGGAGTGCGAGGGGTGTTACAGTGGGAAGTATATACAGGAGAGGAGTGCAGAGGGTATTACAGTGGGAAGTATGTACAGGAGAGGAGTGCAGAGGGTATTACATTGGGCAGTATGTACAGGAGAGTAGTGCAGAAGGTATTACAGTGGGCAGTATATACAGGAGAGGAGTGCAGAAAGTATTACAGAGGGCAGTATGTACAGGAGAGGAGTGTGAGGGGTATTACAGTGGGCAGTATGTACAGGAGAGGAGTGCAGAAAGTATTACAGAGGGCAGTATGTACAGGAGAGGAGTGCGATGGGTATTACAGAGGGCAGTATGTACAGGAGAGAGGAGTGCGAGGGTATTACAGTGGGCAGTATATACAGCAGAGGAGTGCGAGGGGTATTACAGAAGGCAGTATGTACAGTAGAGGAGTGCGAGGGGTATTACAGAGGGCAGTATGTGCAGGAGAGGAGCGCGAGGGGTATTACAGTGGCAGTATGTGCAGGAGAGGAGCGCGAGGGGTATTACAGTGGGCAGTATGTGCAGGAGAGGAGCGCGAGGGGTATTACAGTGGGCAGTATGTGCAGGAGAGGAGCGCGAGGGGTATTACAGTGGGCAGTATGTACAGGAGAGGAGCGCGAGGGGTATTACAGTGGGCATTATGCACAGGAGAGGAGCGCGAGGGGTATTACAGTGGGCATTATGCACAGGAGAGGAGCGCGAGGGGTATTACAGTGGGCAGTATATACAGGAGAGGAGCGCGAGGGGTATTACAGAGGGCAGTATGTACAGGAGAGGAGCGCGAGGGGTATTACAGTGGGCAGTATGTACAGTAGAGGAGTGCGAGGGGTATTACAGTGGGCAGTATGTACAGGAGAGGAGTGCGAGGGGTATTACAGAGAGCAGTATGTACAGGAGAGGAGTGTGAGGAGTATTACAGTGGGCAGTATGTACAGGAGAGGAGTGCAGAGGTAAGACAGCAGGCAGTAGGTGTAAGCGACAGATGCAAAGGCTATAACAGTGAGTGGTATGTGCAGGACAGAAGTGCAGAGGGTATGATGGCAGGCAGTATGTATAGGAGAAGATTTCGGAGGGCTCCTTGTTCAGAGACCATGCTGTCAGTGACAATTTTAATCCTGCACTAGAGTTCAGGAACCCCTCTGTTTGATTCCCAATCATCTGATCACTATGATAGCCAATCATGGTGATCACAGGGGTTTGTTTACAAAATAACATACTGGCTCAGCTCAGTCATTGTTCCTCAGCAGGCTGCAGCTATTACAGTGAAATGCACACAGTAAAAAAATCATTAAAAAGTAAAAAAAATATATAAACCATTTAGTGCAAATTGCATTTTGTAGAACATTTTGTGTCCATTTGGCAGCTTATGATAAAATAAAAATGTAGAGAATGTATACAGTATGTAAAGTGAAAGGTGTATACAGTATATCCTTAAAATGAAAGTATGCTTTATGTAGCAGATGCTGCCAAAAACGTGGCCTGTTCACCTAGGTTACATTAACCTCTGGTCATTAAATTCATAAAACGTGTACAGAATCAGGGGCGGACTGACAACTCATGGGGCCCTCGGTCAATAGGGGATCATGGGGCCCCTGTGTCCTAGCCCAAACTCAAAAAAGCCTATGAAAAAGGTACCAGGGGCATCTCATGGGGCCCCCTACTGACCCCGGGCCCTCGGGCAGTGCCCGAGTTTCCAAATGGTCAGTCCGCCCCTGCACAGAATGCTTTAGTTTAAATATGCTCAGTTTGTACAGCATTATGAAGACATAGGAATCCCAAGTACCATGTCCATGTTTTTAGTCAGAAGACACTGATAGATGTGGAATATGGCATGTACGTGTTCTAATCCATGTGTCTATATTACTAGGAGAAGGCAAAGCATGGACTGAAGGACTACTACACGTGTGTCACATCCGTCACCAGGCAACACTTCCGAGAGTTATTCCGGACTTTTCGGAACAGAGATATGTTGAGATAAAATGCTGTTACAATATTTTTTTACCTATACTGCGTGGAAGGCATGATCACAGGCAGACAATGTAGCACCTCTTATCATTTTACACTTATGGTATTTATTGATTTATTTTTGTGCACTGATTCTTTTACAAGCTTGATTTTTAAAACGCACAGAAGTGCAGCAGCAAAAGGGCATGATTTTATTTAGGTTCTCTCTATATTTTTACATATTTATATTATGGTCTCTTCACAGATGTTTTATTTTAGCATGTGTTATGCACCTCTGTGTAATTCTTCCAAGACAGTGGAAAAGTTGCAGAGAGCCTTTCTATTAATTGAGTTTTGTCTCTTTGTTGTTTGATGTAAAGGAACTTTTAAACATGCACAGCTCGATAACTATTTCAGAACAATGATGAGCATCCATTTATCTCTGTAGGTAAAAAGAACTGTCATATGTGCTCAGCTTGGAGCAGCCTTCTGAAAACAGAAAGACACTGCGCCTTCATGCCTGACAATGTTGGCTGTGACACTGGAGTGGATAATGGCTTGACAGTTCTCTTTCCATAGAGCTGTATGGAGGCTGTCAGACATGTACTGATGCTTATCACTGGTCAGAGCTGAAGATACCAGTATGTAGGTGGCTATGTATAATAGGCAGTCACATAATTACATGTGATTCTATTCTGCTTCCAGGTGATAAAATACAGTCCTGATATGTTAATTGTACAGGAAAGAAGAGTGCCTGTGTTGCTCAATGTCACTAATTATACACATGTTAGGGAATCTGATTCATTCATAGGAACACCACCTCCACTGTTAGTCGTATTGCTGAGGTTGTGGTTCTATAGGCTAGTCTAGATTCAAACATTGCATCCATTCCTTATAAACTAATATTACTGCACAATGAATGAAACTGATGTCACCAGGTTTAGACTGTATTGTCATCTTGTTCCGTCATCAAAAAATATTTTAAGAAGAGTTTATCTCTGGTGTATCATGGTGTAGGTAGCAAATATATAAAATAAAATCTCCCTCAGACCTATGCAGAAATGTCTAAAACGGAAGACAGAAGCAAAAAATTCCTTACTGTGTCCATCTCTGGTAACAGAATGATCTACATCTTCTGCAGCTGGCTTGTAAACAACTACAGAGTCCCTATTCCTCTACTGCCTGGTGCCCCAGACAGTGGTTATCCTATGAAAGCACCGTATGTTATAGTCACTTAACAATACCAAGTTTTACCAGCAGGTGGAGTGAGTTCAGATCACTCTTCCAAGAGAGTTTTGAATCTAGATAGATTGAAGGGTTCTCCATGCTACTAAAATTAACAAAACTGAATACATTGGTGGGTATTTCCAGTGTTTCTGGACATCCAGGACTGTGTTATGTTATGCTGTTGCCTCAGACACTATTAGCAAATATGCCTTTGTTTATACATGTGACTACTGTCTGCTGTTGTGATGCCACAACAAGTCAACCCAGGTGCGTTCTTATATTAAAAAAAAAAAGAAGTTGCATTATCAATTAAACATAACAAAAATATAAAATTAATTAGAAAGTATAGAGCAAGCCCATATTAGCACTTACATTTGTCTTACATGTATGTTTCATAGTTATGACAGAATTATAAAATTGTACTGAGCATTGAGGACCTAGTTGTCGGGATGCTATCAATGCATGCGAAGTCCCAATACCATTACCTCTCCTGAATGATTACTGTTACATCTACATTTACATGCTTTTAAATATTTTAGCAGGAAAGTCAGCAGTGTATCTTTCTGTGCAAACATTCAGCAAGCTGTAATGATGATCATACATTTAGCAATTTTGGAAGCATCCCATTAGGTTTTGGTTAAAAACATGCTTTTATGGAAAAGATGTGGGTCCACAACAATTTCCCCCATGGTTAGATCTGTGGTCTCCAAACTGCGGCCCGGGGGCTGCATGTGGCCTTTGCTTGAGTTTATCTGGCCCTTAGGGCACTATCGCACCAACTGTCACCAATGATGGAGCACCATTCCCCCTACTGACACCATCCAAGGGGCATTATACTTCTCACTGATATCAATAATGGAGTACTTTTCCTCTCTCACTGACATCAACAATGGGGCACTATTCCTTCTTTTAAAATCAATGATGGGGCATTGATGCTGGGG